AAAAGAACGCCACTGTCAACTAAAATGCATATAACATCTTGCCTACAGTTTGCCAGGAGACACATGGGAAACTATGAAGTTGGCTTAAAGAAGTTTCTGTAGTCTGAGCCAAACTCTGCCCATCATCATAAGCACACCCTCCCCACCATTAAGCATGTTCGTGGTAGCATCATGATGTGGGGATGTTCCTCTGCAGTAGACCCTGCAAGGTTTGTAAGAGTAAAATGAATGCATCAAAATTCAGAAAAGTTGTGGAGGAAAATCTGATGCAGTCTGCAAGAAACCTGAGGTCTGTTTTTTTTTACAGATCAATCTGAACAATAAAATGAGAGGTTTTTAACCTCCCTGGCGGTATGATTATGCAGGATTTGAGCATGCCAAAGCGGTACATTGTTTTTCATGGCAATTTGTTGTTTTATATTGTAGGCCTGTAATTCTTAGTAAATCTTAGGAATAACTCGCCTAAATCTGTCCAAACAAGAGTCTAGTAGACATCCCAGGTATGATAAAGTTTGAAACACGAAATCATAAATTTATAATAAAAAATTATAAGATAATAATGTAAAAAATGCGCTGCCTGATCCTTACCGCAGTCAATAGAGTACCAAGTTCGCACATCACAGAGTTGGGTCGCAGAATCGTCGCTGTCGTCACTTTCAGTGTCTGATGACGAATTTCCCAACGAATAGCTATCACTCAATTCTGCAAGTGATTCTAATTTACTATCGCTGTTTTCTACCTGGTCTGAAACCGCTTTTGACCTAAAGGAACGTTCTAAAGTTTCCAGGCAGAAAGAACTGTAAAAGTGCAGGCAGTCCACTGGACAAAGCTCTAGGGACAAAATTGAAGTGAAGTAGTTTGATACATAAATGTAATTATAGCAGATTACATTGTATTCTGTGTAAATGTCATGTTTTCACTTTTGAATTTCCCGCCGGCTCCGCCCCCCGCTGTGACGCCCGAAAACTAAACTGAATGCCGGCATCGGCCGGGCGCACACAGCAGAGGACACTGTGGGCTCGCAGGGACAAGGTAAGTGACACTTTTGTGCTATCCCAAGTGTGGCTCGGGGTTACCGCTTTTGGTACTGAAAATTAACCCCGAGCC